AGACCGGAAGTGTGGATGCATTTCAGTTAAACTGAAAACAAATGAAGCATTAGGGAGTCGCAAAGTACAGCCACAAGAGTTGTACACCGTTGTCCTTCGTCGATCTGTTTTTCAAGCCACTGGACTAACGAGTCCTCTCATGTAAGCTCCAAGTAGTTTGAAGAAGTGCGGATTGAAGAGTAGAGAAGAAGGATCGTGAAGGCGCCTCTCGGGCACTTAACTAGCCACGCATGGCGCGCACGTGTTTGAGGTGTCGAGTCGGACTCTAAGAGAATCATATTCCTCGTCTCGTTCTCTCAATTTTTTTACCATTCTATTTTCTTTACTTTAGATTAAATGCCGCGTCGTTGTGTTGGCACACGGGTCCACTGAATTTCACGCAAGAATTACTCGGTACAAAAATATTTTTGTTTACCGCATAATTGGCCTCAATCAGTCAAATATGTACTCCATTTCTTCACAGTTTATTTTTTGGAAAATATTTTTTATTGACACTGGACATTTATCAGTCAGATAAAATTAATGATGCTGATGAAACATCTGATTTGTAAATTGTTTTATTTTTGAAATTTCCTTTGAGATAAATTATTTAAAATAAATAAATTGAAAAAGAATAGAAAATATCAATATTCTCGTTTGCATTTAGAAAGCCGAGAATCACAAAAAAGTTATTGATTTATAATTTGTAAGAGTGAACACGTGAACTGTAGAAGCTATAAAAACACTAAAACATAGTAAATCCTGCACACGATACTTTGTAAAAATATATAGACTCGGAATTGTGATATTCTCAAGCTATAAAGTCACTCGGTTTTTTTCTGCGCTTGCCAATAATTGAATATAGTCCAAGTGGTAGATGGACAGAAAGAGAGGATAAACATAAAAGAGATGAAAGTATTATATAAAGAGCGGAAGAGGGTGACAGGAGCAAGGGGATATGCGACAACGATGGGGGAGAAAATCGATATTTTAATTGGACAAAATAATTGGAACGAACGAATGGAAGATCGTAATCTCTGCGAACTCCCCGTTTATATTAGCAATAGCCTGCCCTCTTCTTCGTCCCTCAGAGTATCTTTGATCCATCCACCCTTTCTCTTCTTTTGATACCTTTATTTTTACCTACATTCTATATACCCTTATATCCACATTTTTCTATCGACGTAAACGACTGTGTGATATAGTCCCCTCCTAAAAACCTCGTTGAAAAAGAGAGCTATAAATATATGGTTCGACAAGCGAAAAGTCCGAGACAGATGAGCCATTTAACCGTATTATATTGAATAATGCAAGGCTCCGTTTACGGTGAATTAAGCTGCGTCAAAGTTTTTCATGTTTAGGTATTTTTTTTTCTTAGGGTAACCGAGAAAATTTGGAGATGAAGAGGTTGTTACTTAACTTGATGATTATGTAATTTTCCAAATTTAGTTTGCCTGATTGGGTACACTTTTAATTTTTACATTTTTTTTTGTTACTGAAGATCAACGCCGTACGTTGCATTCAAGTGATTTAATGAATTTTTTAAATTAAAAATAGATCATTTTTCTTCAAGTTTAAAATGCAATAAAAATTTTTTAATATTTCTTTGTCAAATTACGAGCGTCAATTTTCCATAAAGTCTTCAAACTAATATTTAAAAATAATTTTTCTCCTTCACACTAATAAATCCGTAATTCCGCGAATCGGTATGAAATTAACAATTGAAAAAACTGAAGCTTTATCAGGTTGACTGTTGGTGTAACAACACATTTCTCTTAGAATAGATCATGTAATTGAATTTCTTGGTTGAAAGCGTGGCGTCGTCGAGGGGACAGACAACAGGCAGAGTCATATGAAAATAAGAGAGCAAATGAGAGACGATTAGAAGCAAAGAAGCGCGGAAGAAATGCAGGACCACCATGATTGCAATTTTAACGCCAATTTGACTTGAATCTCGGCACGCCGAAAGAAATACGATTTTCATGCTCAATATAGCGACTACTAATAATTAACGGCTTAGGTCTCACAGACCTCGGGATTATTTTTTGAAGCGACAGGATCGCTAAAAGGGTGTTTCATATGAAATAGATGCAGCCCAGTAAGATAAAGTGTCTGTAAAAATGATGGGATTATTTCTCATTCACCATACACTGCCAGTCAATTAATCACGTCAAGCATAATTAAAGAATTAAATAAAATAATCATCTTAGTACATATATCAAATGTATGTAAAAAGATTTGATGGATTAATAAAAGACAGTTAATTATGAAATTTCATAAAATTTTTATGAGTTGCGTAATGTCGATGACACCGTGTACATAGAGTAGGTTTCTCGGTTGGCATAGCTGGCGGGTGGTCCTCATTATGTCGGGTTCCCCACCGGTTGCCGTCCTATCTATTTAACGTATCGTTTGCCTTGGTAACCATCCAAATTGGCCCATCCCTCTCTATCCACTGAAGCAAGACAATGACACGCGATATTCTATCCTCATACAGTTGTCTGTAATTATCAGCTAGTGTAAATCGTTTAATAAGAAGTCGAGAAAATAATTGATGCGATATTTACACTAAAAAATTACTTTTTAGTTGTCATAGATTTTAGTTTGATTAAGTAGAAAAATGTACTCATTAGGAAATTTTTTTTTGACTTTGAAATAATTGAGATTGTATTGAGATTACCTGTTAAGCTGCTTCATTAAGATAAAAGATTAAATAAATATACTTTTAAAAAAAATTTTCTCCTGGACAATAATTATTTACAAATAAAGCGTCAGCTTGAATCTGTTCCAAAAAATTTATCTAGACATTTTGGAGCTGATTTAAACTGGAGCCTTACTCGTCCATATTTATTGTGTTTACTTGTATAAAAAAAAATAAAAGAAGGCAAAATCTTTTTCACGATTGAAATGTGAAAAAAGATTTTTTATTGGTAGTCATAATAAAAATAAATTACTTAAAAATGATTTCTTTATTTATAAATAAGGAAATATTTATGAATTTTTCCAAGTATTGAGGAACATTCATAAGGAATAATATTTTTTAATTCATCTTCGAAACATTAATTATTGAATAAATGCATTGAAATATCTTTTGGAATAAATTAGATGAGCTGGAACCTCGCTTAAAAGTGACTATCCAAAACATTACGAGACCTATTTTAGTTTAAATTAAATAAACAAAAACATGTGGATCAAGTGAATAAGTTTTGACCTCTTTGTTGAGTGAATATTCATTAATATTATACAATTATTTCTCTGATTACAAAGTTCTGTAGATAACAATAATACATGAATGTACTTAAACGAAGTACGTATTAAGATTATCAGCTGACGCAATTATTCGCTTCGTATAGTAATTAATTGCAATCAAGTAAATAAAATTATTCGAGAACGAAAAAAATTATTTTTCCTACTAGTGAATCATGTGTAAATGTGACGCACTCACAATGAACCGTATTATATTTACAAACTACTTCAAATTAAAGAATAGAAATGCCACGTGGCTAATTATGTATTTATTCTTCCTAAAATGCATCAAATCATAACAATGAATAATTCGATTAATTTCAAAGCTAGAAATATTTGAAAAGAAAGCTTTTTAATTAAATTCTCCTTCACACCTTTTCTGATATTGAAATTTTTTGTTTATGCAGGCCTCAACTTTGACAGGAATATAAATGAAGGACAGTACTAAATCCTGACTGTGTATGGTGCACCACTTGGTGGAGATTGTTTTTAAAAAGTATATTTTCGTTTATGATGTAAACGAAAGAAGAATTGAAATGTACTTGATAGGAAAGTATATATCACACTTTACTATCAGAACTCATTTGTTTTTGGTTATCGCATAGTCCCATGTCATGCCACTAGATTCCTGTAAATATATGACAAACGAGCTCTAGAACATACCCGTTCATAACCTGAGATGACCTGATCTCAAAATTTCACAATGTTTTTCTGTAAACCATTCAAAAATAAGATTGAAAAAAAACCTTTAATTTTTTTTTATAGCAACATAATAAATAATTATTTTTCTTTACATGTCTGATAGGGAGATAATTTTTTTCAGCTCCGGCGATTATTTCTTGATTCAACCAAAATGAGTTCTGATGATAATGAACGACGATATATTTGATAGAGATGGTTGGGGACGATCGAGGGACATGAACTTGTGTGACCCTTTTTCCGGTTCTCATTATATATCGCCGAATAAATACAAATATGTAATGGCATTTCAATAAAACTGTAATTACAAATGTTGATTATGTTTAAAGAAACTCTGCATTCTCGCATTTCCGATAACATTGTCACGTTGACCTTTGACACTGGCTCTATATATATATTGGCACAAAGCAAGAGGATCATTATAAGATTGTGTATATATTTATTGCGTGTGAGTTTCCCTTGACGTGTTGCCGACGGAAACAACTAGACTGCTTTGTATGCAGAAACATAACTGACTCTGACCTTGCCCCGAAAAGTCTCAATAAAGCGCTTATCGTACCATCAAGTTATTAAGCTTCGATTACAAAATGATTACGTTTTGATAATTGACACAACAATGAAACTCTTTTTTCAGCAGTCAACCGCTGATTAATACAATTAACAATTGGTGTATTAACACAGCAAGTAGATTTGTATATATACAGTTCTTTTGTGAAAATGAATTCAAGCGTTAGGAATATTATAATAGAAATTTTCCACGATTTAAGTATTTTTCTTTCTTTCAACACAATCGCCAAGTCTAATTGGTCAATTACGCTCATTAACGTCTCCGATGTAGGAAGGCGAGTAGCGATTAGAATCTTTCCTCTCTCTTCTCTCTCCTCGTACACCTTTTGCGTACTCTCTTTACTTCTCTCCCTTATATCTCGTTTACTCCAATCCCACTCCAAGCCTGCACCCATACCATTTGCATAAAAGTTAAATGTCCCTTTGCCCCTTCTCGCTTAAAATATGCACTGCACGCTCTCGCGGTATGTTTGCTGATGGTGGTCGTAGTCCAAGTTTGTCTTTCTCTCTCTGTTGAGTATAAAGTAGCTCCAACGAAGGGGCGTTTACGAGAGCAAAACACACCCTCGTTGATCTTCAGTAACGCCTCTCATAGCATACCTCGATGCTCCCCACTTAGCTGTGTCTGAATCGTGGTTGTGGTGGAAGGAAAAAGTTGGTTCGGAGCCTGCATCAGGATGGTTGGTTAGTCCACTCTCAGAGCTCGTCTTGCCAAGAGGTCCCACACACACACTTTTACGAACATTCAAGTTTTTATTCACTGCTCCAGTATTGACGATAATTGTCCAATCATTTTGGACTTTAATTGTGGGACTAGCAGTGGTGAGAGATATTCTCAGTGTGGAAAATAGTGTTGTGAATTGCCTTAATGGCATGTAAAGTGACAGACACTGATAATAATCAGTATAAACAGTGATTTAAGTCAGCATAAACAATTGATATTATTGATATTTGAAGGACTAGTAAGAATGACAGTGCTCAGGATGACCAGCTCACCAGTGACGCCTCCGTCGACAAGTCCTAATACACCTGATCAAGCTCAGGTTGAACCGTCATCAAGACCAACTCAAAGACTGAGTTTTTCTGTAGCAGCATTGCTAGCTGATACGAAAAAAACGAGAGTTGAAACAATGTGTCCAGTTGAACCGTCCAAAACATCAGTAGGATACCCATCTCCTAGTTCATCTCCAATTCCCATATCATATTCACCTGCTCAGCATCATCATCAACGAATGAACCAATCATATGGTGCTTTAGATATGATAACAAAAACTCAATACACTCGTACACATTCACCAGACAGTAATTGTAGTGATTCTAGAACTACAAGTTCACCAGTGAAACATACTGAAACAAGTCATTCAGTAGTTGGTCTACCAGATTACAAATGTTTATCCGACGCTTCAACTATTGATAGTGTATCAAAAAACAGAACCTCCCTATCACTCAACACTTCAATAGCCATTCCAGATGCTCGTTCACAGTCACCAGAAAGTCATCAAGAAGAACGGCAATCAAGATGTTCAGAGTTGGACATGGAAGATGAGGATGAAGGTTGTTTAGTTGATGTTGAAGATTTGGAGCATCATGAATCAACAAGCCCAACGCCTGTAAGACCCATGCCTGCTTATGTTGGTGGGTTTTCTACACTGGGATCAATACTTGGACTGCCAGCAAGCCTTCATCCAGCTGTTTGGGGTGGTGCTGGACCACACAGATCCGTTGCTGCTGTCGCGGCAGCCAGTTATTTCCCTTCACACTTCTCTCATCATGCCCCACTCAATGGTAAGATGATCTTTCTACTCATCAACTATCCCACGCACTTGGGATATATTTTTTAGATACATTAAAATATATAAGAATGTATATATCAATCTAAATGACAGTAATACTTGTATATGGATAAGAGAGAAAGTTGTTACCTTATCAGTATAGATTATTATTAAGTATTTAAAGCGTTGTACGTAATATAATGATAGGAAATGTATAATAAATTGCGTTAGCCATCATACGTTCAGGGAAGTTTGTCCAGGATTATAATTTAATCTAAGCGGACAATGAACGGACATGATTAGAGGTCGAATCCTACAACTCACTCATTCGAGACTAATCGAGCTGGCGAATGAGTCGGTGGGGAAAGGAGTAAGTGAAGGTAGAGGGAGACTATTATTGATTAGCACTCAAGAAGTGACCGACTATGTTGGAGATATAGTTTACCGTCGGGTGACTTGACTATAAATAAAATGTTACTTCAATCGAATTTACATTTATCTACATTTCACTCATGATTAAATAGCACACTCCCAGGACAATAAGTTACCCTAAAACAATCATAACCAAGCATTGTAATACCTGAGAAAATATTAAAAACTATCAACTAGAATAAAGCTATACTTGAAAACTTTTATAGTCATTCATTTAACCGTTAAAGTCGTGAAAGATAAACGAGTCTTCCCTTGCTTGCTTCTCCAACTTTATGTACAAGAGGGTAGATTTTCATGCACTTATACGACCTGCTAGAATATATTGAGTGTGAGAACGGTAAGGAAGTAAATGGTATGGAAGAGATGAGGATGTTGGAAAAATGTGGGAAATATTTCAGGCAGTTTTTTTTTGAAATTTTATTGGAATTTGTTTAGTACATAAATTTGTTGATCTATTTGATTTTTTCTTTTTAAACTTTTCAATTAAAATACCTCCTGCCTTGCTCCAGTAACATTTTCTTGATCTTGGCCTGCTTCTGGCTCACGTCTGTGCCTATATTTAATTAATCAGTGGCTTGACACTGGCCCGATTTTATTCGAACTAGGGAAGTAAAAGACGAGTAGCAGTTCGACGAATCTCACTATCTCGGGGAAATCAGCTAATTATTTTGAATGGATTCCCAATCGCTGGCGTTTCCCTGGGAGAGAAGAAGGTGAATGCGCGGATTAAAATCCGTCTGGCGGGACGTTTTTAGCTGGTGGCCCGAGAGGCTCGGCATGCCAGAGTCGGTCGGAGACTAATTGGGCCCTTAGCAAGATTGCCGGTAGAAATCCAACTACAAAGAGGATCTGAAGTTTATTTTGATCTCTTGGTGCATTGAAGTTTATATACACACCTATGTTTGTATATAAACCAATACATCAGAATAGTCTCATAGCTTTATAGGAGTCCGCTTGAACGATGAATGTCGAATTTGAAATTCAGAAACGTGGCCTTTTGTCCTCATCTCTGGCGACGAATCCACCCAAACCCAGACGAGGAAATGGAATCTGTTGATTCAGCCTCTCTACAAATCTGTCAATTGTTTCGAGACAAATCTTAAGACAAACCATCATGATCCTCCATTTCCTTTGCAATTCGATTGTTCTACTTTAGCCGTTGGATATTTGCAAAATAAATGTCTCATATAAGTTTTAAATTTATTCTGTGATAGTGTATATAACAAAAAGAATAACGTACAGAAGTTGAAATAAAAGCAAAATTGAATATATAAAACAACTGAAGACTTTATATGAAATGCAACGCACCGTTTACCAGCGATATCGTTACAGTCTTTTAACGACTTCTCTTTTGCTCTTACATCTATGTTACTTTGGGGATAATGAAAAAGTTTAAGATACGTTTATGTATGTATATACCATTCGTGAGTATATATAACAACACGTATACATATGAAGCTTCCGTATAGTAAAAGAGTCGCGGTCAGAATTTGTGGTCTTGGTAGAACAAAAAAGCTAATGGGCATGAGGGATCTCTCAGCGTGGTTGTGGCGCCGTTCTCTGGAAAATTATGAATTGCTCCGGTAAATTAAGCCTGATAAAAAAGTAATATTGTCAGAAAAAAGTGTCTTAACTTCTGGTATTTTGCTTTGAAATATACTGTAACGTTATATTTTCTTATCGATATTTCTTAATCGCATCAATTTATTAACTGTTCTGTTTTCTTGTTCATTATAGAACATGGTGAACCAGCTAAAATAAAGTGCAATTTGAGGAAACATAAGCCCAATCGAAAACCTCGAACTCCATTCACGACTCAACAGTTGCTTGCTCTTGAGAAAAAATTTCGGGAAAGGCAGTACTTGAGTGTTGCTGAAAGAGCTGAATTCTCTTCATCTCTACATCTCACTGAAACTCAGGTATAGAAATTTTTATTTTCATCATTTTTCAATCTACAAATGTGTTGGTCAAAGTTGAATAATTGTTTAATTGATTATCAAATGATTTTTTCCAGGTAAAAATTTGGTTTCAAAACAGACGAGCCAAAGCAAAACGACTGCAGGAAGCTGAGATTGAAAAATTGAGGATGTCAGCAGTAAGACAACATCATAATACTTTATATGGTGCTCATCATGGACTCCTTGGACCTGCAGCTCTTTATCCCGTCGGTATGTTGTCCCATCCTGCTGCGATTTCACCACATCACGCAGTTGCACCTCATCCTGCAAGAGAATGAACTCACGCTGCTGATTAATTCTGTGTAAAAGTACAGTTTTTGCCAAAACCACATGAAGAAGGAAGCATCACTTGGTGCAAAGCTAAATAAAAAGAAAAAAATATCACAAAGTGATCAACAAAAAGGATCAAGTGATGAAGACTTGTGGTGAAAAATAAAAAAAAAACATCAATTAAAGTTGAATGATATTTGCAATGTGACAATTGTTGAGTTTTATTAACTCCGAAGTTATAATATTTGTAAATAGACATATCAACATGTTGTAAATAATATATTGATAAGAGGAAAATTAAGTTATGTTTACGGATACCTCATTATACCAGTTGTAAATAGGCCATTCTGATATTACCATTAAGGACATCATCACAGAGAAACTTGTGGCAAAAGTTGCCAACTATTATCTCGTACACCTTTCACAGTCTATCTCATTTCTTTTGTATAAATGTACAAGTTGTTAGTACGTAAGATAAACATTAGGTTATATTTAAATAAATCCTTATCAATAACATTACAAAATAATATACTTAATTACTCCTGATTTCTAGTAATAAGAATTTTAATGAAGTTATTTATTTAGCTATAAATACAGAAATTTTCTCGTGAGTGGTGGTTTTGTTTGAATACGAGAGACAGAGGGAAATCGTATGCAGTCGAGATTATTCCGGCGGTTCAAAAAGATTTTGAAAGCTGATAAGTTGATGGAGAACGAGAACCGGGGGCCACTGTGCGTTACATGTCGCGGCATAAATTAGCCGAGGCAATTAGTTTTGGAATCGGCCGCCCCAGGCGGTTTGGCGCCACCATCTTGATTACGGGAAACCGGGAGACAGTAGCGAGCACTGTTTGCCGAAAGCCAAGCACTCGCGAGCTAATTAGCGATGCCCACTAAGATATCAACGACGCACGCTAATAATACTGAACATAAATATTCCAAATTTTTTATGTCTGCCGCTGTATTCTGTTCATCTTTGCTATATCCCGAATTATACCAAAAGATTCGCTCATTTGAATTTTATCATGGGTTTATTACTCGACGATATAAACGTGTCTTTTTTTTCTTCTTTCACCACCACCATCACTTGCTCCTCAACATTACGTGTCTCACTTCAAGTCAAAACTCATTAGTCCAATGACTGCAGCAACACCTCAATAAATTTCCCACTGATGCTGAATTGTGCAAATGGGAATTTTTTTTTAAACAAACGCATGATGTAATTTTTTTGGTAACGCGTGCGACTCTCAGGGAATATGCGGAGCAAAGAAACCAAAAGAAGAAGGAGCAGTTAATATAAAAACATGAAAAGTCTTATATCATCTGACGTCTTCGCATATTTTATATGATTTTTTATGTTTGATATACCAAGGCGTCCCTCTTAATTAATTGATCCAACGGTAATTAAGTAAGATTAGCGTTGATATTTTTTTTCACCCTGAGGTCAAACACGTCAGCACACACTTGATTATCATACACACTAGTGTACTTGTGTGTACATACTGACATCGAATGTGTAACATGCGATGAATGATGAATATGTGGAGCTCTATTTGTATATTAAAATAAAAATAATACGTAAAAGCTGTGATAGATCCATACAATTTTGTCATGAGTATTTATTCACTTGCGAGAGCCAAAGAATTTGGTCTACACAAATAACATGCGAATGAGTTAAAGTCGAAAGCAGACTTGAGAAGCTAATTACGCATTGATTATCATCTCTTCTCTTGTAACTGCCCGTCACTCACTCTTTGTGAGGCTGCACACATGCATACAAATGTATTTTGTGTATCCCTCCGAGTTGAAAGTCGAGATCATTTGCAAGATTACTTTTACACTACACATATGCATAATCGTCTGCAAGTCTCATATTTACATGTATGTATCACCGTAATAATATATGAATTTGTTCTTGTCATAATTCCTACGTAATTATGTGATATCGTAGCGACTACAAATTGGACGTGTCTCACATAAATGTATTTAGTGAATCCAGTTATCTAGAAGCCTAGTATGTTCACTTATGTGTCCCTTTTATAGGCTGTATGTATTTCTGCTGAATACTCAACATTCAAATATGTTACAGGTTTATTCCCTTCCATTGAACAGTCCCAGGATGTGATATTATCCGGCTTGTATAATTCCAACGCTCATTATCATCTGTACCTCGTTAACGATTGGTATTCAATTAACGTTTTACTTAAATAGATGGTCGAATTAAATGATGAACGAGGAAAATTCAAGACTCTCTTCATTTTAATCAGTAGAGTTTAATTATTTCCAATTGATTTTTACTTGGTGATCCATTTCCAAGAAATGCCAATAAAAACGTACGTGGATGTTGAGTTGAATTGAAAGAGTGTCATTCAAAAGTCGAGTTGATTTACTCTCTAAAAACGGTGAAAATAATAAAATGGACTGCAACATCAGCAAATATTCATTGATTTCACAGTATAAATTAAACCACTGCTTGAATCGTTTGTAATATATTCACTGATTCTGCAGTTAATTTTATTATTTTCACTGTTTCATTTTTAGAGAGTACTTTGCCGGAAATGTTGCATAATTTGGATATTAAATTAGAATATTTATATATTTATTTAAAAATAGTTTGGATCCATTGCCAAAGATAATTTGTATAAACATTGACCAAATATTTATTCTTGCATTTGAAAAATTTCTGGAATGAAGTTTATTTATTTCTTAATTAATTATTGTATTTATTTTTAAAATTACTTTCAGTCAGTGAAAAGAAAAGCATCTCTACAAAGTATACAAAATCAATTTGGAAGATAATTGAAATCTCAACAAGGACATAAAGAAGATTATTCTGAGGAACATTACCATATATATTTTCTTATCTGAATTGAAATTGTATTCTTCAGTGTATCGATAATAAAAAGCAAGTTTTAAAATTAAATATATTGCAATTATAATATTTATAAATATTTCAAATATTTACTCTAAATTACTTAATAATTTTTTTCCCATCATAGTTTTCACAATTACAAAAATGAATTCTCAATACTCATAATACTATTAGTTTATGATTCATCATGATAATACGTATGTGTATTTATTATATTAGAGTCAAAACGTTTGTGTGGTAATTTGAAAATTTTGTTTTTTTACCACTTATCCCTGGGAAGTTAAAAGAATCATCAAATACTAGTTTGTGCAGCGTTAAGTGAGCGTAGAGTGTAAGTTGATGTTGGATATTGTAGGTGGTCTACTACTATACACCATGTAGAAATTGAAAAGAATAGAATGAACTAGATGATGAAGAGACAGATATATATACCCGTATTATATAAATATATATACTGCGGTTTAAAATTTAGTCACCACACGCTTTCTCTCTCATTCTACTTCTCAAAAATTCTCATAGTGAGAATTAAAAAAAAATATCTTACTCATGTCGTTTACTCTTGTATAGTTTTTTTTTCAAGCGATAAACTGGTATTCTCTTGATCGTTTTGACTGTACGACACCTGATGTAAAGAAAAAGAACCCGATAGAGTCTCAAAAGTTGTTCTGGAGCTTCATGTATCGGTTTATACAAATATAAATCACTGCGTGGGGGCAGTTTTGTGATTTTGGAAAGGCAGAAAATAGAATCACTACCCTTAAGACCGAGAAAATCCATTCAAAAGACCTCAGCAATCCATTGAAACATTGTTGACCTGGTGAAGGCATTGAAAAAAATCCTCGAGTTGAATAAAGTAAAATGGGCAAGAATAGAAAAGAGATAGTTTGACTCGAGTGCAGTCTTTGATGATGATCAATGGAGAATATTGTTATACACCCTCTCTTATTGAAAGTCACCGAATAAAATCATCTTCCGTCACGAATTAAATGCTAACGTTTTTATTTCACTAAAAATTGAGTAATGTATATATATATATATTTTCGTGTGTATCAAGATATTAACACTGTCCCTTCTTTTCTGCTCTTCCCACTTCAATGAGTGGGAACTGATATTTTGTATTGTTGTTGAGCTCATAATCTACAATAATCCTTGACGTATCTTTATTACCAATCATCCAAATTTATGGCAAACATTTCCCTTTTTATGTAATGTGTTTTATTGCTATTTTTTTTAGGAGTTGACTTATTTTAAATGACAATTCTTTGAAAATAAAAAAATAATCTAAAAAATAAATTATTGGAAATTATTCAATGCTTTTACATTACCATTATTTATTTTACTAAACTAAAGATTAAAAATAACTGTAATTTAATTGATTTATTGACTTAAGAAAATTAATCATGATGAAGTTAATCGTGACAATTAAAAATATCATATTTGAAATTAATTGATAATAAGCTTTATCATCTTAAATAAGCAGTTATTAATATTTGTAAAGTAAATATTTACCCGAAAAAAGTGATTGACATAATTCTTAATAGATTATAGGCTTAACTTAGATAAACCGTGTATATATACATAGCTTTGTAGCTCATAACGGTATGATAAAGTCAACATTAAGGAACTGTCAGCTAACCTCCACATCCAAGATATATGATAGTGCCGACGGAACACAAGTTAACAATTGCTTGGTTCAAACTATGAAGACAACGCTAAGAGAAAATGTTGGATAAAGAGGATGGGTAATAGGTGATATACATAAAAGCACAGCGGCATAAGAGATTAAATTAAAAATTCATTAAAAAAAATTTGTAATTACGATGAAACTATGCTCTGTCTGTCGTTCATTTTTTTTTTCATTTTTCTTTTACTCCTTTTTTTCTGTACATAGTCTTCGTGCTATACCATTACTTCTATCGTCGTTTCCCTCTATTTTCATGGCGCAGTTTCCCGGCGAGATGCCAACCCCGGTGGCTATCTGATTGTCCAACCCCGAGAGTCAGTGTAATTAAACTCCAACCAAAATTGCTCGACATAACGTCTCGTAGAAGTTAAGCGCGACGATAATATGTATTTCGCTCATCATCCGGGATCAGAAATGTGTCGTTTTGCTGGTAATTCATGTAAGAAAATAAAATAAGACTCTGCCATTAAATGAGATAATCAATACAGGGTATCAACTTTTTCTAATTTAATTTTATCAGTGGAAAAAAATTTTTTTTAGATTTCTAATAAAGAAAAATTGTAATTATTGAACTCATTGGATACTTATGACATAATTTATATTTTTTTTTAATACAAAGGATTAACATTTAAGTTAAAATTGGGTTGAGATTATTTATTTGATCTTTTTTAGTGTACAATCATTATTCATTACATGATAAACAGATGAAAAAATTTTTTGACAGATGTAAGCTTTAAAGCTCATCTTATGAAAAAAATCTGATCACTCAGAATAATCATTTCAACGGATAAAAAATCAAAAATCCCCTTTTTAACTCTCTTCAAATTAAAAGAAAAAAGGATTTTTTATCCTTAATAAATTTTATTTACGACAAATAAAACTCATCAATTATCCATGATATTTTTTCTTCTTTCAGTAAAGCTTTTTCTCATCACACATAATTCTTTTG